GAAATAAAGAACCATTTATGAGCCCTCTGCCTTTGTTTCCATTAGAATTAATGAAACATGTATTCCGTTACATGACTCAATTGTTTAGCCTTCACAAACTAATGCAATTTTCACAAATAAAGTGTAAATACTAACAGCTATTGTTCGGGAAGAAGGGAAAAATCAGTTCACAAGAAAAAAAGAAACCCAGCTCAAATTAAAGAATATAAAATATATGTCATTAGATAAACTAAAGATGCAACAACAGATTTTTCGTTCAGTTAAAATTCAGAACAAATAAATTGAGGTTTAATTATCATCTTATTTGAAAAGAATGTTAGTTTCACTAATGATGCACATTCAGGTTGACAAACAAGTTCATTATTTTGTTTTTTTCTTTTATCCTGGATAGAGTCCCACCTCTTTCTCATTTAAACATAACTAGTTTGTCATGGATACAAGTTGAAGAATGAAAAAAGACTAAAGGCACAAAACAGATTATACTAATAATAAAGAAAAAAAGGAAGATAGTTTTGTATTCCATTTGAGAGATATGTAAATGAAGTGTAGAGTAACTGCAGATAGTAGATCAATCATATTGAATGCTAACATGTATATTTGAATATACTGAACATTTATAATAAATTCAGGAAATTCAGTTTGGAATAAAACAGGATCTACTGTATATAAATATCAGAGGCATATACTTAGCCTTTTCTTTCCAGTTGACCTAACTAAGAGGAAAATTATTTGCATCCTTGTTAAATTTATAAGTACACACATACACACAAAAGGTACAGGTAGTCCTCATTTAGCAACTGCCTTGTTTAGCGACTGTTCGCAGTTATGATGGTGATGAGAAAGTAACTTTACAACCAATCCTTGCATTGATGACCTTCACAGGTCTGTAAAGCAAAGGAAAGCTGAGGTAAGATCATAAACACAGTTGTGGTTTCATTAGCGACCGCTTCACTTAATGACTGAGTTTCTGGTCCCAATTGTGGTCACTAAACAAGGACTAAACTGATTGAACTTTGAGCTGAATTAGGAAGACAATTCTAGCTTCATTCAAGGACTGGCTAAGGAGTCATGAGTTGATTTCCAAATGATTATCAAGAAAAGGATTAATTTTTTAATCAATGTTTTCTTCTTTTTCATTCAGTTCCAGAGGCACAGAAATGGCAGAAAGACCTGGTATCCACTCTTTTTTCCCCTTTAATTAAACAGGACTTTCATCCTACAAAGGGAAACCTATGTGCATTTTTTCTTATTTTTCAGAATGAATTCATGTTGCCTGAAGACTATTTGATTACCATGAAAGGACTACCAGATTGACATAACTGGAATTGGTAACTTTGACATTACTTTAAAAAAGGAGAAAAATTCGATAGGAGGAAAATAAATGAGTAGAAAGATAAGAAGCTACCTCCCAGGTGCTGATATTAAATATCCCTGTCCTGTATTTTTCCCCTCTCTAAATTGCTTCAGCCAGCCCACCTCGTTTAGTTCCATGTCAGGGAATTTCATATTTTGTTTTATAAATCACCATTCACCCAAACTCCTGAAATGAAAAAGAATTAATTTTGCCTTAGTTTCTACATTCTTTAGCCATTGTCGTGGGGTTTTATGTCAGATACTCTTGTTACTAACTGTAACATAATCTGTGTTGATATTTTACACCAGTTTCTAATACTTCATTTTGGGGGCACTGGTAATTACTGTTTGTTATAACTGGAAATGCTGTCCCATACTGGAAGACCACAATACTCCACAATAAGACTACAGAGTTAAACAAGAGACCAGATAGCTTCCCAGTTTATTCAGGAACAGTAGAACAAAGGCAGAAAGAAATCGGGGAAAGAGTAGGGTGCCTTTGGAGAAGCCATTTTGGGCCAAAGGGGAAGAAATTACTGGTCCTCCACTATCTCAGAAGAGAGCAGAATGTGTAGAAAGAAATTCTATGACATACAGTAAACAAACATGAAGGTGAACAGCCAATGATGAATAAATCATTTCATCTTTGAGGGAACAAAGTTTTTACATGTATGTTTTTCTTAAAGGATTTGGAGCTCTTTCTCCATGCATGCTGTATGGCCTTTAGTGACTACATGTCTGTGTATGCCTTCAAGTCAATGTTGACTCTTGGTGACTGCCTGGACAAGTCCCTGCAGTTTTCTTGGCAAGATTTCAGAAGTGGTTTGCCAGCGCCTCCTTCCTAGGGCTGAGACTGGTGACTAGGAGCCACACTTTAATTTTTTGGAGAGCCTGAGGACCACAGTTGGTGGGACTATGATGCTTAATCAAGGAACTGTTTTTTCCCCTTAGTTTTGGGGGAAAATTTGTACAGTTCTTCATGTTTTAACTCTATTATAAGTCTATTATAAGAGAGGATATTGTGTATTACCTCCCTCAAAATGATGACAAATTGTGTCACTAATTCTCGGCATTAATGGTTAGAGGCAGCCCCAAGGGCCCTGAAAACACATGTTGTTCACCCATGCTATGTGGATTCATGTCTTGTCCTTAGGGGGAAAAAAGGAATAATGGTGATTTTCAGAGTTATCCCTCTTTTCAATTGTTTAAGGGAGCCTAATCTAGTGGAGAACATCTTTATCACAACCAGAAACTTAGTCATGTTGACTTTTTCAGTTCTGATAACACACGTTTCTTTTTCCTCTCTTTTTAAAAAACACACTCCAAATTTCAGAGATTATAGAGTGAGGAAAATAATTTAAGTCAATTATTGGTAGGAAATAATGAGGAACAATTTTAAAAATGTGTTTTGCCAGCCTATGGTAACAAATAGCAAGCTAATCAAATTGTAAACAAGGGATTATCTTTTTGACTACTATTTTCTTAAAAGTTTGAGGAAAAATAGAGAAATTAGAAAAGGCAATTCACACATGAACACATTCATAAATATAGGTTAGGGTTAGGCAATATTTTTATTAAAAGTAAACTGTCCATACACACACTCACACATGTGATAACACCCATACACACTTGCAGGTGAACTAAAAGAAAGGCCTCTATAATATGAAACATAGCAGTATCTGTATCTGTATCTGTTTACTCATCCAAAGTGTATTAATGTAATAATGACCTTCATCAGGAACCAAGGGTTTTCTCAAATATCATAATCTCTATTCAGGTGTTCTATTCCAGATAAACTCCATCTCCACAGATATTACTCAAGAGATGCCTGTTGCATGTTTAGCATAATTACCTAAAGGTTGAAAGCCTTTACATGTACAGCTCTAGCTCACTGACTTCCATACAAGCCAGGAGCCTGCATTAAAATGGTCCTGGTTTATATGGAAGCCAAAGAGTATATAGTTACACTGCATATGCAAAGGTTTAAACCTATGGTATCTCTGTTTGTGGGAGAAAACATCATTTCAACAACATTGGCAGAAGGCACAGAATCAGATCAGAGCTACCAACTGTTCTAGATCTCTAGTTCTCTATGTACTTGAGTAATAGACATGGAGAAGCTAGTTAACTAGCTTGCTTGTTTGCTTATTTATTTATTTAAAGGTCACCATAACTCAAAACCAACTCTGAGCAATGTACAATTAAAGTCCATTATAACATTAAAAAAAAAAAGTAAAAAAGAAACTTCACATAACAGAGGGAAACACATATCAAACAGTCCAGAGCTTTCGATAAAGCCAACCTTTTAGAGATAGTCTGAAGGCTTGCACAATCAGGGCAGTCCAAATATCTTGGGGGATACTATTCCAAAGGGTGGGTGCTACAGCAGAGAAGGCATACTTCCTAGGTCCCATTAAATAACACTGATTAATGGATGGGACACAAAATACATCCACTTCACCAGGTCTTATGGGGCAAGCAGAAATGATGGCAAAGAGATGGACCTTTAGACAGTCTGGCCCTATGCCATGAAGGGCTTTATAGATGGTAACAAGCACCTTGAACTGCACATGGAAGCTCTGTGGTAACCAGTTCAGAACACTTAGCAGAAGTATTACATGGGAGTACTGAGGTACTGTATGTCCATAACTGCTTATGTTGCTGCATTCTGGACCAGCTGTAACTTCTGAATAGTCTTCAATGGCAGCCTCATGTAGAGCACATTGAAGCAGTCTACAAGACATGAGTGACCATGAAAATGGACTCCTGGTTCAGGAAAGGGCACAACTGGTGCACAGATGAATATGTATTGTCCTTCCTGGCCTCTTCATCAAATTGTGCACCAGCTCTGAATGGGGAAGCACAACCCCATTCAGAACAAAGGACTGAAAATCACCAGGACCATAAGATCAATACACCTATAGCCACTTGGACTTTTCAGGTTTAGCCTGTTCCTCCCCATCAGACTCGAACAGCTTCCAGTCACTGAGACATGATCTTGACAGCATCACTTGACTGAGCAGGGGTTGAGATGTACAGCTAAGTATCATCAGCATACTGATGATACCTGACCCCATGTCGACAAATGATATTACCCAGCAGTTTCATTTAGATGTTAACCAGGAGAGGCAAGAGCATCAAGCCCTGAGGTGCCTGCAACCAGTGGCTTCAGGCTGGATCACTCCCACATGTCAACATCAACTGGAACCAGCCACAGAGAAAGGAGGAGAATCACCACAATGCCATGCCTCTCACTCTCAGACACTGTAGCTGGTCCAAAAAGATACGATGATCAATGGTTACATTGACTCTATATATTTTTAAGGTTATTCTTAAAAATATGTCTGAATAGGACTCTAAGGGGTGCTTCTCATTATTACTATTACTATTATTATTAATTTATTATAGCTGCCCACTCCAATAGACTTCACAGTCGTCCTATGGAAGACACAGATTGAAAAATATCTCAAATAATTTGTTCAACAGGCATTTCTACGTCAGAAAAGACAAAAATTAGTCTGTATAGCAGTTGTAAACAACAAATAGTTGTTCTTGCTTGCCTCTCTTTCAAAGGCCATATTATTACAATTTTTCAGCCAAACTTATTTTCTTTTCTTGTCATACCCTAGTGTTATTTCTGGAGCTCCTTATTTATCCAGATAACAGAAACAGATCACACATATATATCCTAATTTGCCATATACTTCAAATGTTTACATGTTGCTACTATAAAATTATTTGAAGATAAAGATAAATGAAATTAATAAATGAAATAACTACTCTAACTCTTTTGATAGATGCCTAAGGGTACAGATGTTTCCTTCTTATACCTACATTTCATCTTTCACACTCCACTGCTAAAAATACCTGAGTTTGTTTTGAAAAAAAGAGTTTCTAACAAAACAACATGAAAAGTGCTCTTTTTTTGCTATTTTGGAAAAAGGTGAATTAAGAATCTACTTCCAGGCATTAAAGAGAAAGTAGGAAGTCCAAATTTCTTGGCATGAATCATTAAACAATTCAGAAATTAACTGAACTTTTAGGGTTCTCAAACTTCACCATACTATACCCACCTAAAAAAAGAAATGAATAATAAACAAATATGCAGCTTTTAACATACTTTCTGAAGTTCAGCTTAGCCCTACTGTTTGACTGGTCATCTTTAGCTTTTCCATTTTTAAAAAAAATAACTCTTGGTTATCTACAGCACATTTCTCTTTTCTTTTCTTTGTTCTCCCTGCCCCCTCCCTCAGCATATTTTGTTTTATCTTTTACTGTGCAATAAAATAACATTAAATTAAAATAATTTTTCCATTTGGAAACCTAGAAATAAAAAAATAAGTGATAGGATAAAAATACTGAATTTCACCAGCACATACTCTTCTACAAGAACACCAAAGGCTATGGATACATAACTGCACACCACACTGGAAGTTACCTGCTGGTAGAAACCATCTGCCAATCACTATAGGTTTAACTATCTCTCAAAACTTGCTATGAGCTTTTGCTCCTTACTTTTCCTTAGTAAAATGGAAGCAAGTTTCAATAGAGTACTCCCACTCTGGCCCTGCAAGCCTGATCAGCTATAAATAACTTTTATGGCCTCCTTCTGAGTTGTTCAGGATACCCCAGGGAACTGCAACCCACAGTCTAAGTTCCCATGATTTTGGGTTTTTTTGTAAAATAAGGAGGTACAGGTAGTCCTCAACTTACGACCACAATTGGGCCTGGAATTTCCATCGCTAAGCAATGCAGTCATTAAGTGAGTCATGCCTGACTTTACAACCTTTTTTGTCATGGTTGTTAAGTGAATCCACCTTCCCCCATTGACTTTGCCTTTCGGAAGCCCCCTGGGAAGGTCAAAAATGGAGATCATGTGTCCGCGGGCTGCTGCAACTGTTGTACATACATGCCAGTTGCCAAATGCCCAAATTTTGATCACATGACCACGGGGATGCTGTGACGGCCGTAAGTGCAAGGACCGGTTGTAAGTCACATTTTTCAGTGTTGTCATCACTTTGAATGGTTGTTAAACAAATGGTTGTAAGTCGAGGACTACCTATAGACATTTTTTTTCAAAGCTCAGGAAAGAAGCTAAGAAAAATGTTAATCCATATCCCTGTCAGAACTCTCACTGTTTAAAACTCCATCAGCCCTGAAAACACCCTCATTCTTTCACTTCCCTTAGCTTTCTTTCCAACTATGAATTATAGTGGGAAAAACAACAGGAGTATAAGAGAAGGGGAGTAGTTTGTTCCCCTCTAACACCTCCCTCTGGCACAGTAATAAATAGCATATCAAACTGACAAGGCCAGTAGTTGATGGGACATGGAGTTCTTAACCAGCAGGATTTGTTCCATGAAAAGGCTGTTCTTCATTTCATCATGCATGTATCTGCTGCTCCTTTCCACTGCTTTGGAGGAAAGCGAAAGGAAAGTGGCGGGATGAATGTTTTCTGTGAACTAGTCGGGACGGCCCTTGGATGACAAGTCTGAAGAGTTAAGAACTTTTCTCTGGCTCCAATTTAACCTGAGTCCTTGTTTGTTTGGGGTTTTTTTAGGATTTTTGATGTCATTTTAATGCAATTCTCATGAGCATGAGGTTTCCTTTCAAGACAGTTGCAGAGAAACTTCCTTGCATTTCTGTTACTAGAGTATGGTTTTCCGAAAGACGCTGCATCAGTGTTTCAAGATTTTCTACCAATTCCCCTCCTTTTTAAGGAGGAGAAATAATACAAAGCAATATTACATTCAGATGTGATCCAATGAGTTGAACTCTAGGATCATCACATGCCTTAGCAATGGTTTGTTTTAGCCAAGGTTTGCTGAATGAGTCGCGGTGGCTGGGTTCACACATAATGCTAAGCCATAAACCTGCTTTTACAAATTCCACTGTATTAAGCTGGAACTAAGCAAATGGCATGATGTCTTAGTTCATATCACAGAGCCTTTTCATACTTGTGAACTTGAGCAGAACACAGCTTTTGCTGATGGAAACAGCTGCCAGTATAATGATGAATTGTCCTGACTCTTTTCACTATTATTTTGTGGCTGGGTGGTATTCTGTGATATGGAAAGCAGAAGGATATAAATCAAGTATAAATCTTGGTGTAAAGACAGGACAAGGTCAGGCTCATGGAAACAGAGAATAGAACTGGGGTTGCCAAGCCATTCCTTTGATGCTATAAATATAGCTAATGAAGAAAGGCCTATAAAGAGGATTTTATTGTCAATGTGAAAGATATATTGTGAAGCAAAAGGATATTCTATAAATGAAATTTAAATGTTATGATGAAGTTCTGTATTGTCTTAAAATGCTCTAGTTATTTCTACTAAAATAAGAGACCAGTGAAGATACCCATGACTCCATTGATACTAGTTTTCTTATTTCTGGAATGTTGTTTTAAATCACTAAACAAGGCAGAAGATACAGTGTGCAGGATGATTAGGAGCATTTACAATGTGTAGACAGCTACTCGTCTTATTCTTACTCCTTAAATGTTTTACATTAAGAAAAGGTTTCCTCAGATATTTAAATACTGTGTTAATTCTCAGTGAATTTTGTATCTTGACAGCGTTCAAATTATAGATTTAGATTTCACATAAAACTACAAGAATGGAAGCTACAGGAAAAATAAAACTATAACATGAGAAAATGGGAATTGAAATAAATTGAACAATAATAATTCTGTTACTCAGCCTGATACCAATGTGAAATCTGGGGAAAGAACTCTCTACGTTAAACTGATTGTAAGACAGTTTTTAAATATATGATTTTCCCATTTCTGCAACTGTGTTCAAGGACATGTTTACGGATAGAGATTTGGCAGACAGAAATTCTCCCCTTTTACATTTTGTTACAAATAAATTGTTTTATTGACCCCTTCGCTGGCAAAGCTACCTGCCTGGTTCTTTTACATTCTCCAGAGGCTCATAAGAATGACAATAATCAAAAATATACCAGGCCACCTATCATGACTTTACACAGGAATCACATCTTTGTCATTTAGATTGAGGGGTGACAAATTTATTTTAACAAAGCACTGCTATTCTGTTTAGATCAAGCTAGACACTAGTATGTGGCCAATGGTCTGATTTCTCACCTTGAATTAGCATTAATCTTAAGTCATTCTTGTCAAGGTCCCTGGAGGTACATCAGTGAAACTTGTACAAAGCCAGTATCAAATCAAGACTGAACTTTTAGACAGTGTGAAAACAGTCTCATTGGAAATCAAGGCATGTACTCGCTTTTGAATTCTGTTTACAAGCTTGATTATCACTTCCATATCATTATAAAAACTGAAAGCTCTGCCTAGAGCATTGTGTTCTTAAAAGCATAAGAACGATTCAAAAGAAAGTAGAGAGAAAAAAGATATCTTTTAAAAAAACAACAACAACAAAAGTGCCTTTTCTGGCTTAAATCAACATATGGATATTCCACTTTGTGGCACCCCCCTCATTTCCAATTTATTTGTTAAGTATAGTTCAAATGAAAATAACTGTGTTTTAGAAAAGCAGCCTTATTATTCTCTGGTAACAAAAGAAAGAAAGATCCAGGGGTATCTTAAGGATCATTTGGTGCTTGTACTTTACATCACTGCAGGAATTTGTTTTTATGATTAAGGATAGGAGAAAGAGATCTTCAACATACCTTTGGTGGCCAGTCGAACACAATTTATTTTGGTCTCCTGCAAATGACAGAATATGAAAGAACATCAGATTGTTTCTTTATGAAACATTTAAGGAGGAACAATATCCTTCAGCTAGAGTCATACATAAAGAGTATCTCTGGACTATCTATGCCAAGCACAATAAATATAGGGCTATGCACACAATGAGAATGGTTTAGAAATGCTTTAGACCTGACATGAATGCAAGCATACGCCTCTCATCTACTGTTCATTCAAAGGAACATAATCTTTTTCAGATTCCAACTGCTTTAAGAGTCACCCTACCTTTGATGATGAATTCCTTAAAGGATACCATTTTTTCATGCTTATATGGAAACCTGAAAAAAGATCAGGTTGCTTTAATGAACAGCAGAGAAATGTTATTTTTGCATGAGACCTGAAGCACTTCACCCAAATCATTTTTGAAGAGTATTCAGCCCTACTAAATGCAAATTGATACCACCATGCATACAACCCAAGTGCCACTGTCAAGCAATAGATCAGGGATACAAAATAAATTCAATATGCACATTGGTGAAAAGGAAATGGTGCAGCCTGCCAAAAAGGATAAAATACATGGGCATAAATAGAGTCCTCTAATATCCATCCTGCTCTAATCAAACATTTTCACAAATACATACAAGGAAATGTATATTTGAGAAAGATATGGCTAGCATAAGAATGTAAAACTTGAAAAAAATGTTTACAAAACTCTGGACAGAAGAGTATTAGGGATGGTTACAAATGATTTCTTTTTTTGCAGAAAACTGACAGAATATAAAAATATAGGAAAACCTTGGAAACCATACAGATTTTATTTAGATTCATCTGCATATCTCTAGTTCAGAATAATTGTTTATGCATAATTTAAGAACACACACTTCATACCCATATGATATTTAATCAGATTGTATCTTGTAATTTGTTTTTATGGCTCTGAAAAATGTATTTATTGGGTGCTAATAAACTACAGATGTCGCTTTCTTCCTCCGTTTTGCACTGTAAAACATGTGTCTCCTGGTAACAAATAAATTTTGTATAAATTATTGTTTATAATAGGTCTCCATTAATATGGCTATTTTGTGCACATTTTCCAAGCATTAATATAGCACTGTTATATATTTAAGATTTTCATCATCATATTTTAATAATAATAATTCTTAAAAAATTAGAGCAATACCTCATTATAGCAAATAAAATTTCTGGTGGGATAAGCTGAAAACATGATTCTACATCCTGTGGCACCCATATATTGATTATTTCTTGTTCCCACAATACTTCTTTAAGTTGGAGGTTGTCCTAATGTTATCATTTCTACCAGTTGACCAACATGAGGGCAGCTCTACCAAATGAACCTTTTAAAATGTACTATCCCCCACTTCAGAAGTATCTAGAACACCTCCATATCTGAAGCAACTTTGATCTGAAGAAGTCTAAGAGGAAATGGTGATCCAGAGACTTTAGGAAGGTACTTTAAAAACATATTTTAACCCCATATTTTTGAATGTATGACATACCTGTCAAAGCCTCCATCAAATAAAAAGATCAGACAGATGGGTGGGCAGAGGCACAGCCAGAGGTTTTCTGATTGACAGTTCTAGCTTCCAGTTATGGAATGTCTTTATCAGGGCTTTACTTTTCTATTTATTTTCTTTTGCTTCGAATTACACTAAATTTTGGAGAGATATGAGCCCTGTTTGGGTGTCAAAGTTCTAGAGTACATCACATGAGTGCTCTGCATAAGTCCCCAATCCAATTGTCACTGAATTGAGATGGGCTTCTGGCAATTTGGCAACTAAGAAGAGCTGCTGTTCACTTCTCATGCATTAGATATACGGCCTTGTACAGAGTCCCCTCATCCTTAGTTTATGTCTAGTAAAAAAAAAGAAAAAATGGTTGTACAAGAGGGACATGCCATCCTGCTAAGGACAATCCACACTGCCATATTTAATAAGCAGTTGTGGTGCAGATTTTGGGTGGGGAAAACTCAGTTTGTTCCATATTGCCTCCCTTGCTTCTTAGAACAAAATAATAATAGCTCAGCTTTGTGTTTCGGGATTGATACCTGAGGCCCATAATAATGCTGGTGCTTAGTATAATACTCTGTGGGCATATTTATATCAGTTTTGTAACACATATAATAAAGAACAGGGATAGCTCAAAGTCTGAAATATGAGCACTGTGCACTGCCAAGCTGGGTTACTTATTAGGTCTCAGTTGGAATTAAATTCTGTATTATGGATAATGGTATGCCTTCTTGACATCTGATATCCTTCTACTATAGGCTGGGTTAGGATAATAATGAGGCATCTACTTTGAATTCCTATTATTTCTAAAAATAATTTCCTCTAGATGTTAATTTATATTTTGTTCTAAAACTTCACTAACATTCCCTTTGGAATAAATTTTATCACACAAAATGAAAAGGTTTACCCCCCTTTTTTTAAAAAAAATAAAACAATATATTTTTTTTGTATGTTAGAGCTCCAGTTTGTAGCCGAGTAAGCTCTACTGTTGCCTTTCAGTCTCTCATCTCATTAGCTAAGACTGTTGCCTTGAAAAATGACACAATAGATATTTATATAAAATGTATGTTAAATTGTAGCCAACTTAGATCACCTGTTTCTTTGCCTTTTATTGCACAATGTGCCATATTTGGTGTAATATGTGTTACGTGTGTGGATAGAATTTTGTGTTCTAGTCTCTGGGCTGTCACAGAGGAGCTGAATTTTCTGGATCTCCACCCAAAGATAGTCTAAATAGAACATGTGTGAAACTGAATATTCTTTCATTTTGTTATACAAACCACCTGTTTACTGAATGGCGTGATTTTCACTCTATGGACTTGTCAAAAGCCAGATGCTTAAATGAAATGTGTCAGAGTTGGGTGTAAAGGAAAAATAACAAAACAAAAACAAAGATTTGTACAGAGAAAATACAACTGGTTCCTGATTCAATTAAATCATACAACAATCCATGGGAATGCTGACAGACTAGAAATCTGCAGTCCCCAGCACCTCATTTAAGATTCCAAAACCCTTCCCAATTGGGTGGAGTTGAAAGGTTCAATCCTTCTCCCCTCCTCCCCGCCACAATTTTTGGACAAAGTAGGGGATTTAAACAGTACAATGGGTGCTTTAAATCTTATAGAGATTTATAAGATAGCATCCCTTAAAAAGAACCCTTTCAAACCATCAATATAATTTTTCTGATGGAGGGGTAGGAGCAAAATGAGTGTCTTAAGCCTCTGCAACAGTTAAGGTATCAATGTTACCCCTTCTACTCTCAAAAAATTCATTTTTCATTCAGAAAAATGCTCAAAAAACTCAGCCAGTGACATCACCGTATCACAGATGATGGTCTCTAGGGCCTCCAGACAGGACACAAAGTTGTAGTATAAGGTAAAAAATAATTTGTATGATTTTTGGATGCCCAAAAATATTTTTTTAGTCTCACAAGATCCCTGAAGTTTTTAACAATCTCACCATTCGCATTTCTCAAAAGCTCAGCTTTTATCCCCAAAATCTTAGATGTAAACACCAAAATCTCACAAGATTTGGTAATCTTACAAGGTTTCAACAATTATTAATGTGTTCATTTAATTCTGATTTACTTATTTAAAACATTAAACATAAATATCTTGCCTTTCCTCACACAGTTCTATTTAATTTTGTTCTGAGAATGCTGTCTATGGTTGTTAAGGATGCCTTAACTATTCTGGATGCTGCACTGCTAACCGCAGAAGAAAATCCAAGAAAGTTATCAAGAACAGAAAGCAATAATTATAAATGAAGACAGAAGTGAGGTTACAATTTCTATCCAATTAAACCATTTTGTTTATATTACTTGATTTAAATGATTCAGTTGAAGACAAAATCAACATGAAAATTTCATTTTTACTGTGACCAATTCATATTTAATTAAATCACTATGTGAAGAGGGACCAGCTAGGCACTGATATATATATATTACAAATCTCATTAAAAGAGGCTAATCTGAAATTGTGCTGAAAATAGGAGATACTAGTTACTAGGAAAGAATCCTAAATTAACAGCGCAATCAAATAAAGAGGGTTTTTTTAATGCACCATTTCCATGACAAGTCATGCTTATCAGGTGAAGTTGATGGGAGGAAAAGGGATAGCTGGAAGCAGTTGGGAGCCTATCAGAAGCTGGTACCTTTCATTAAATAATTACAGAATGAAGCCTAAACATGTTTTTCTATATATCTGCAAGATTTGGGATTATTTCAGCTCTTGGGGTATCATTTTTTATGAGTTGGGGATGCAGATCTTCAAACAAGAGTACAAATGACAATCACACACGTATGTTCATCTTTCCTTCTCCCATATCCTTTACAGAAAACTTGAGTGGAGCTTTTTACCTCCCCCCAACAAAAGTACACCTGAGCAATTCCACTTGCACATTGCTGGTTTACCCTGTGGCTCTTGAGAGACAGAAAATGTAGTCCCTCTCCCTCCCAGAGATTTTGTGCAGGATCATGGAGGTGGGGTGGGAGGAGTCTTTTTCCCTTACATCAAAGAGATACTGCTCAGGTTCATTGGTTTCTACTGCAAGTAAATTCAAAAATATGTTGCAGTGAACAGTTACAATCACTTAAATTCTACCAACATCAACCAAATGTGTTGTGCACTCCAGGTAGACTTGTCATAATACAATATGTTTACTTTTAAATATTAAAACAATCCCAGAGAAATATTGGCATGGGTTTTTTAAGGATCCAGGGCATTTATTTCTAGATTGGATGAATTTTGTTCATAATGCACTCACCCCATTTGCTTTACTAAGAGCCTGAAAATAAATGCTGTAGCTTTTCAATGGTGAAAGTGGAGCATTCCAATAGCCATTGTATGTTCTGTTGTCTCCCACTGTGAAAGGCTGTGTAACTGGAAGATTGACTGGTTTCAACTCAGCTGCAAAGTAATGGGGGGAGTCAAGGCTTGAAGCATTTTTGTAGCTCACTGGAACTGAGAAACATTCAATGATGTCTGCAGCTCTTCGTGATTTCTGTGGCCGTTCTTCTTTCACCACAAGCTGATAGACACTGAAAAACAAAAAAATCAGGAAGATTTAACAGGATAAGAACAAACAATTTAAGAAAGCAAAAGATATTATTAAAAATAATCCCCAATTCAGGCAAGCATTGACAATAGAAAAAAAAATAGGATGTCAGGTAGAGAGTCCAAGTGTCTGCATTTATTCTAGAAGAATCACAAGAGTTACAGTAAATAGCATTGCTGACCAGCATTCCACAGATGTAATAAGAGCAGAGAAGTATTAGCACTTTTCTGCCCTTACTGCTATGATGTAGGCCTGAAGCTGGACTGGCACTTGGCAGTACTCCTACTGAACACTTTTGCTGTCATCCCATTACAGAACTCAACTAGGCAACTCACACAACTGTCTACTAGATCACTGAGAAATTCCCCAAGTGTGTGACAGAAACTAATTGGATCCATAAGGTACCTGGGAGAAATCTTAATGGCCCCAAACCCTCTAAGAAGGTCAGTGGTGGCTGTGAGTCCCAAGGTGAACAGATAGTTACAGTATCTGACCATGACAAATGATTGAAGTTGATGTCTTCCATTTTCAGCTCACATACTACATGCTCTGAGGCAAAAACCAGATCAAATGTGTGGCCCGTAGTGTGATTTGGGGCTGTGATGACATTTTTAACTCCTCTTTCAGATGCTCCTACCAACTGGCTTCCATACCTTAAGTCCAAAAGATGTCCCAAATAAATTGGAATGCGTAACAGAAAGGAAAAAAAGAACAACAAAGTTTGATTGAATTCTGGAAGGCTTATAAGCACATTCAACTGAATCCTCCTTCAGTTGTTGAATGAACATCACTAGTGGAAGGGCCAGCACTGGCACGAATAAAAATTTTGGAGTTGCAGCCAAATGTACATCTCTGCATGAACTTCATACCCTTGTGAAATTAGGCTGAAACCTTTAACAGAGCTACCATCATTGCAATAGTTCGAATGGTTGCAGGTGTGTTGGGAAGCAAAGTTGGTCCAAGTCAGAAAAAGGTTAAAGTGTTAAGCAAGGTGCAGAATTGTAAGAACTATAATCAGAATGCCATACTGTTATATATTCTGGTGCCCAGGGTCACAGTTTAACTAGCCCTAAGATTAGATAGTATGGGGGGTGGTCTGGCAAGAAAGTGAATGTTAGGAAAAGTACAGATGGTCCTTGCTTAACGACTGCCCTGTTTAGTGACTGTTTGAAGTTATGATGGTGCAGAAAAAGTAACTTTACAACTGGTCCTCACATTTACAACAATCACAGCGTCCCCGCAGTCACGTGATTGAAATTTGGGCACTTCACAACTGTCAGGCATGTATGACTACTGCAGCATCCCACAGTCTTGTGATTGTCATTTGCACACTTCACAGCCAGCTTCTGACAAGCACAGTCAATGGAGAAGCTGGCAGTGAAACTGTAAATTGTGGTCACACTGCCACGTGTGGAAATGGGGTCATAAGTCTGTCATGGTCATGTGATGTCAGGAGCATCACTTGGCAGGTAAGCCAACATGCAGAGAAGAAGGCAGGGGACTTAGTGGTTTCATCAGCAAAGACATTGCACAGGGAATTGCTGGGGGTGGGGGCGGAATCAAAGTTTGAGCAGCCAGGAAGAAACTAAGAAGAGAAGCAGATTGGAAACCTGATCCAAGAAGAGGGATCAAGCAGCCAAGATCAAGCAGCCAAGAAGAGAGTGGGAGAACAATAGCTCTATGAGGGTTTTGTTTTTGTTTTTTTATAATGAGCGTTTTTGCCAAGAGACGGAGGAAGAACATTTTGTTTAAATACTGAGCTTTTGAAATGTACTGTACCTTTGAGGGAACTGTCTACTGCATGTGAGAGAAGACAGCTTGTTAGTTCTGAACAAGCCTTCTTCCAGGACACTGGAAGATTAATCCCATTGATTCAATAACACAGTGTTCCTTAAAATTATTGTACCTATGTTTTAATGTCCAAGTGTTTGAGTATGTTTTTTTTTTCTTAATGATATAAGTAACAGCTGCAGAAAGCTCATAAGAGAGGTAGGATTTTTTTTTTCTTATTGAATGCCCCAGAAGGGAAGTATATTGCCCCTTAGAGCCCCACTAGCTAAAACATTTGGCAACAGGCTTGTTTACAATTCTAAATGAGCTCAATGGGATCCTGTTGGGAGATCTCTTGGGGAATTGGCTCCTTGAATTCAGGGCCAGGTTCTGTGTTGGGGCCATCTTTACTGTTGCATTTTTTACTTTTATACAGGAGAGTTTGATAGAAGGCCTAAGAGGGAACTGACAGTCATATGTTGTTTTAGCTGTTTTCAGAAGCATGTTGTGTCAAAAAGACAAGCCCAAAGCATATCCAGGAATGCCCCACCAACATTAGGGTTAGGAAACAAGGGAATGGCAAATAAAGCAATAAACAACATTCAAAAATTCTAATCATTCTATCCAACTTTTCACTAGTAAGGTTACCAGATGTAGGCTGCAAGAAACTGGACAGCCTTTCTTATCAAGTGGTTGTTCAGATTTTTGCAGCCCAGGTGGAGTAGCATTAATGGTAAGTACTAGGGATATGAACACTCACTGCATTCAATATACATTTCAATCACCGGTTTAATTTGTCATACATTCCAATTTTAGGTCCCCCAAATTCTTTTCTGGATAAGGAAATCAAAGAGAACATCCCAATGACATTTGGGTTCAATTTGCATCTTGAAAACTGTTACAGTCTCTCTGGTGCAACTAATATTGGAATATCTGGCATACTGTATTAAGTACATTATGTGTGTGTGTGTGTGTGTGTGTAAGCTAGCATGATGTTTTAGAATATGTTTTTAATAATGCTGCTGAAGTCTCCTTAGAATTATACTTGACTCCTGGTGACTTCACAAACACATCTATGTAGCTGTATTGGCAATGCTACATAAAGTAGTTTGTTACTGCCTTCTTCCTGGATGTTTCTTGATATCCCCGGCTAGCCTACAACTATAGTATTCTCTGTTAGTCTCCCATCCAACTACTAACAGGACCAATCCTGCTTAGTTTCTAACTTCAGACAAGGTCAGTCATGTGCTGCCACCTGTTTGTCTAAGTTATGAAATTCAAATATAATAACACATGTTCCTAGAACATTTCTACTTTACAACAAGTATATCCCAATTTACCTTAAATTGTTATTAAATATATCTTGGCTTCCTGGTTATGACAAATACTCCAGCATTATAACCTTTAAATTCAACAAATTTGTATGTGAATTTACACAGACTGAAGGATTAACTTCATGGAACTCAAATTTCTTGCCTCCCAAATAAATCAGTTTACTATGAACAATGCAAGGAAACATTGAAACACATCAAGGGGAGCAAAGACAGGGGCACAGAGACAGATCCAGCTTACTAAGACCTTGGGAATCATTGAACTCAAACCTACATTCTCCGCAGTAAATCAAGGGGTAATCCTCCTTCATGGAGAATTATTAGAAATGCGGCCACCATTTCAAATACTTACTGCAAAAGATCATGCAGAATCAAAAGGAATAAATAATGGTTATAATCCCTTTTTAAACACTGGCCTAAAAATAGTCGCTCTTGTTTATGTATTTGATTTATAAAGCCACCCATCTTATGAAATACAACTATGGCAGGTTCACAACAATAATAAAAAGACAATAATATGCAAAACCTGGTGTCTTAACCAACAGTATCCAATTCATTGAGCAGTACAATCTCTAGCAGTTCCAACCTCAGCTTATTCCAGTGCCTGGGGGAAAAGCCAATCCTTTATGGTTTTCTAGAAGACCAAAAGGTTGGGGGCCTGCTGGATCCCAGGGGAAGGGTATTCCACAGGGCAGGGGTTGCTATGGAAAAGGGAGCATCCTTGGTTCCACTAGACAGTGGCATTTAAGAGAAAGGGCTTGGAGCATGCTCACACTATCAACCTGATGGAAGAGGTGGTCTCACAAATAACTTGGCCCTGGGACATGTAGGGCTTTAAAGGTAATAACCAGCACCTTGAATGGCACCCAGAACAAAACCAGGAGCCAGTACAGCTTGCACAACAGCAGTGTGATATAGACAACCAAGAGGCGCCCAACACTACACACTCTGACACATTTTGGACCAATCATAACATTTGGGCATGAATGACTATGAGCAAGGCCTCTTGGTCCAGGAATGGGTACAATTACCACATGAGATGTACTTATGAAATACTCTACACATTTTCATTTCTGTCTCCCAAAGTTCACAAGAATACACATAAACTTTCTGTAAATTTCATTTTTTTATTTTTAGTTAGCTAGTTCCTAGACAAAAGTTTAGTTAGCTAGTTCCTTAACTAGACAAAAGAATTCTTAGTGAAACACTTTAATTAGTTTCTTTTGTATCTTCACTATGCATTTATGGCAATTCCCTGATTCCATCTTCAGCTAACACATTAATGCAATAGTCTCTTTTTCTTGTTTCAAGAATTATGCATTCATTATGGAGGAAAATTAATATCTCAAAGCAAACTATAATTAGGAATTCTTCCTTTCAGTTTATGCTTTTTCAATTAGGCCCTCTATAATTTTAATCATGGGAGCATTAACATGTTTCCATAATTTATATACCTGTGATATAATTAAGTCTTGAAATGCCTCAGTCATATACAGAAAAAAGTAGAGCTTAGTCATCTCTTTCTTTGTGTTTAGATCCAAAGCATAGAATGCATTTGTTCCAGATGGCTTAGTATAAGGAATGAAAAGATGCAGAGTGCCAGATTTTTGTCGAATCAGAGACTTGGCATGAACTAGATTACTTAGATCTGTATTGAGGCTCCACAAGTGATATTCCTATTCAGGTATTAATTACTGTTAGAGCCAGGAGGAATCAGTAAGACAAGGAAGTTTACAAATAACATCATACTATTCAGGATGGTGAACTCAATCTATAGAATGATAAAAAAAAAATCTAACAAAATAAAGTGATTAAATGATCTCCAAATATTTGAGAGAATAGAAATGAAATTGCTGTAAGGTACATGAGACAAATCCTCCAT